CTCCTGTCCTCGCCCCTCTCCGCGGGCTGCGGGGCCTTGAGCCGGGTCGTGCCACCGCAAGCGCCTCTCGTGTGAAGAGGATCATGTTTTGCTGAAGGGTTTAGCGCATGGCAGTTTCTTTTTATTTCCTGTTACGCGTAGTGCCTGGCACACTTCAAATGTCCGTGTACTGCTAGTGTTTTTGGGTCTTGTGTGACTTGTCTTTACATTTTATAGAGCTGTGAAGTGTTTAACTTAGAATAACGTTTTTAATGTTTATAAATATATGCATTTTCTATGTTTTCTCATTATTTCAAGTGGTTAATGCAAACAGTGTTACCTGCCTCTGTGCATCTCGGATTTAATCTGGGGGGAAGGAATTACATGGAAAGGAGAGGAAGGACCAGCCCTGTGGTGCTGTAAGTGGCAGCACGTGAACTGTGGATGGCTCATGTTAGCAAACCAACATAAAAACAAACAAAAAACCCCAAACATACTGAAAATGTTTTGAGGATGGTAGTTGGTGTTACAGGATTAGAGTAGTTTTTGCTACACAAAAGAAAATCATGCTGTTGCAGGATGAGGAATCGTAGATTCACCTAGGTTGGAAAACACCTTTATGATCATCAAGTCCAACTTACCCAGAGCTGTCAAGTCCGCCACTAAACCATGTCAGTAGTGTGAGAGAAGTGTCATTGGGAGTAGCGGGAGATATGCCAGAGGTCTATAAGCCATGAGAAATGTGAGCGCAGTGAGTAAAGATCAGGTGTTCACTTTCACTTCCAGCCTGACTAGGAGGAATCGAGGCTGGCAGGTTGAGGAGGTGTTTCTTAGCAGTGTGGTGGGAAACTGGAATTCTGTGGAATGGCTATGCCAGGAAGCTTACATGGATTTTGGGCAGAGTGAAAAGCTGTCACGAAGTCACCTGAGCATTGTTAAATATGAAGACTTTCCCTGGAGATGCCCTGATGAGAGACCAGTCTATGGAGAGTGGTCAGGGGGTATTGCTTTGTGTGTTATTTTCTTACGATCTTACCTTGTATTCCAGTTCTGGCTCCTGTTACATAAGGACTCCATAGCAAACACCTTCATGAGTTAAACTGGTGCAAAAATGAGTGTTCCAGCCACTCACCTCTTCCCTCTGACCTGCTGTGGGAGGCAAAGCAAGACTAACAGGATTATTATGGCTGCTCTGATGCCCCAAGAGAATAAGATCATTCTGAATGGGTGGAGAGAGGGACAGCAATTCTAAGTTCTTGTAACTGTTCTTGATACCTACCTTCTCTACAGAAGGAATTCTGCAGGAATGTTTTAGGTAGTAGGAATAATATGCAGATTTAAGGACAAAGCAGGGCTTTTGAGAACTGCTATGGAAAGTGTACTAGCCTTGAGATTTAGGAGACCAGGCTTCCTGTGTAGCAGTGTGTGTATTTTATTTAGGATAGGTGTTCATAATATAATCTCTTCATGAGGTCAGGTGTTTTTAGAAGAAAACAAATCTCCATAACTTAAACATGTACTTGATCTTTAAATATTTACTTAGAAAGAGCCTTAGAAACACCTTCATGTTTGAACTTTCACTGCACTCCCTAAATAAATTGGCTTGGTTTTTTACTGTCAAAATAACAGTAATCTTTTGAAATTTCCATTATAAAAATATGTATTTAAGGTCATTTGGTGGAGTAACTTAAAACGTAAAGCACCAACAGCTGTATCCATGTAATTATATTTTTCTTGATGAGGGCCTATCATAATGAATAGAAAAAATATATGTAGGATAATATTTTTATTATTATTTTTATTTTTTATTTTTTAAATAGAACATGAAATCTGTGTTTTGTCTTAACTTACTGAATAACAAACAAGCACCTAATGGAAGTAAATGGCTTGGTACTAAAAAAATGTTCTTTTATAACTTTAGTATCTTAGAAAAGTGAAGTGCTTAATCTAGAATGTCAGATATAAATATTTAGCAGCTGTCCTCTGCAGAATTGTTAAGAGTTCAGATTTTTTTGTAGAGAAGCTGCTACGTCTCTCTGCCAAAGATGCTGCCTCAACACCTAATATTTTCTTTTAGAAGCTAGTGACCACAACTCTTGCTGACAGAGGAAATAGGAACTTATCTTTAGTTAGATTTACTGCTCTGCCTTCGAATACATCACATGCTTAGTAAATTTTATGATAAATCTTAAGTGGTTAAGAGAGTATAAGAATTGTTCATTTCTGGGAAGCTGTCAGTCTTAGGTCTGTTGCTCTTAATGTTCAATGGCATTTTTATTGCAAATGAATCAATTTGTTGTTTTATCTGGCTGTTGAAGATGCTTTTGTGCAGACAGGATGCACATATGTAGTGTGTTCGGAATGGTTTGTTTTCAAGTCAGTGGGAAGAGAAAACCTTGCTGGGGAGAATGCTTTCACTTGTAGCTTGTAGTTAGGGCTTTGGTCTGGCAAACTGCTTTCATGTCATAAACTTATGCATATTGTTAATTCAACCTACTTGTGCGGGCTAAGTGTTATCACACCTAGAGGGGTTTTTTTTTTGTAGCATCTGACATTTCTCTCTGACTTCAGTGCAATTGGCTGGATACATTAGGCCTTTGATATCTTGGCCTCGGTAAGTGTGACTGGGGCTTGCTGCAGTATGTCTCTGGTACACTAAAGTAGAATATTTTCATAGCTGTCAAGTGAACAGTAGTCACCATGCTGCTTTTACATGTTAAGAAAGACCTACTTCACTTTCTTCTAGCTTAGGGGAGGTTTGATTGCAGAAACTGTGAATAACATCTGTACAAAATCAACCTGTGTTGCTAGGGGCTTAGCCTCAGGATGGAGCTTACTGGTGCAAACACAGATAAAACCTCTGTGAGTTTTTCTGCTACTTATATAACAAACTGTTTATGAGAATGAAACAAAAGGGGCCTTCCAGGAAAGGTTTGGAAGGAGAAAGAGAGATCTTTGTTTCTGCACAAAAGTAACTGGAATCTCTCCCCAGAAGGTGTCATGCTGACATGTGTTGCTGTTCTTGGTATCATGTAAAAATCAAACAGTTTTGCTTGTCCTTAAACAGTGTTAATATTAGACCTAAAGCAAGGTTTAATTATGGAAGGAGGTGGCTATAAAACTCCTGACATGCTCTGTAAAAGCTTTACGAATGTGTTTCCAGTCCGTTTTAGTACGACTTCATCAGTATCTGGAGTTCAAAGCCACAGCATATTGTTATAGCCTACCGCTTACATAACTGGCAAGAATGTTAATTGTTGAATTCTTATTTTTATTTTTAAAAACCATTATTCAGCAGTAAGTTTGCTGAACCAGAAAAGCATGGTATTTGTGTAAGAAGCTTTGGCTTCTAGCTTGTGCTGGTAAACTGAACATAAACGTTGTTGCTGAGGTTCAGACTGAAAGAGCTTTCCACAACTGCTGAGTGGGGTTAGATGTAGGGAAGAAGTTCTTCACAGTGAGAGTGGTGAGGCACTGGAATAGGTTGCCCAAGGAAGTTGTGAATGCTCCATCCCTGGAGGTGTTCAAGTCCAGGCTGGACAGAGCCTTGGGTGACATAGTTTAGTGTGTGGTGTCCCTGCTCATGGTAGGGGGGTTGGAACTAGATGATCTTAAGGTCTTTTCCAACCCTAACTATTCTATGATTCTATGTTCACAGACTCTACTGCAGAAGTTAAACGCTGAATAACATTTTCAGTCAGTGAAATTTCATAGTCTGTAGGGACTAACGTGCTTTCATTCTTTTTTTGTTGCAGTTCTGTTTGAGATTTCAAGGATTTTAAACACTGGCTTGGATATGGAGACGTTGTCTATTTGTGTGCGGCTTTGTGAACAGGGGATAAATCCAGAAGCATTATCATCTGTTATTAAAGAACTGCGTAAGGCTACAGAAGCTCTAAAAGTAATGCTTTTTATAGAAGCTTATAAATTTGTTTTTAAGTCAGATGTATGTTCAACTTGCTATCCTTCAATTTGTCAGTTGTACTGAGATACGACTCATTTTTACATCAAGGAAATTAACTGTTCCATAGGAAAGGCAATGAATACAACTGAATGGAACATGAAGCAAGTAATGGAGTGAATAAAATCTTTTCAATAATAGCCAGATTAACTCTTTTGAAGGAAAAAAAGACCAAACAGCCAAAATCCACAGATTTTTATTCTGGCCATTTGTAGCAACTATTTGCCCACTTATCTACATCTACAATTTGCTACTTTCTACTTTAACCCATATCACCTTATTTGTACAACCTTGGGCCTAATAGTATGCAGCAGTACTTGTAAACAGGTACCTGCAGATTGCTAATGTAATCTTCACATACCACTTTTACCACATTAACCTGTGCTTTCAGTCTCTCCAAAGACAGACAAGAGGGGATTTCATGGTGTATGTATATATAGGGCTTTTCATAATTTAGCATTTACCTGTTTGGCTAGTGGAGAGGGTAACTATGGTTCAAAAAAAAAAAAAGGCAAAACAAAACCCAAAAAAGAATCCTCATTTGCCTTTTAAAGGATTTTTATTCTTTACTGACTACCTAAGCATCATGATTTCTTCCCCCCTGTACCTTTTAGTTGTTTATTTCTGGGAAGGTGGAGGGGAAACCTATGTCTAGTATGCCTGTTCCTGTTCTGCAAGACTGCATTTTGATTCTTAGAAAATGCAAGTTACAGATATTTTTACTAAAGGCATGCTGGTCAGGGCTATTTTTCACCAGTTTTCAAATGTTTTACCTCATTTTTAACATTTTTCTGTGCTCATGCATATTTTGTATTTATGTACATGCTTAAATGTGTGCATACATATGTGTTTAACTGTGTATATAAATAATTGAGGGCTGTTTTTACTGCTTTCTTTGCTTTTATTGGTTTATCGTTCCCATTGCTGTCCTTTGCCTGTTTGTCCCATAACTGGCGTAAAATATACCAGTGTCAGTCTCCAACAACTGTACCTTGCTGGCTGGGTTGAGTTATTCAGTAACAAAAATACTTAGTGATGATCTTGATCAAAAAATTGGCAATGTGATTAATGCAGTTATGATTAGTGGCATTCCTCTAAATTTTACGTCAATTTATCTCCACGGGTGGGAATAATAAATCCTATAAATTGTATAAAGAAATGAACTCCAAAGGGAAAAAAAAATCATGCATTTGGGCACTTTTTGAAAGCATTAGGGTAAAATGTACAGGATACAAGCTGCTCACATACAGGATATACAATTTAACACAAGCAACTAGTAATGGCAATGTCAGTAAATGTTAAACAGTTGAAAGCATTTTTTAATATTTTTTTTTTTTTTAGAAATATAAAGTATCCATTAGAGAACAAGACTACACATCTTATAATTTTCATAAATAGCTTATTTTTAGACTTTTGAGTTCTCTAGGTGAATTAAAATAGTCACAAGAAAGGAGTAAGTTTAATCTACATGGTGCCTACTCTTGGTGACTTGTTATAAATGTTTTTTTCTGTTTCTAGGTTGCTGAAAATATGACAGGCTGACACGGGAGGGACTTCTGCGTGAGAAGAATGCCAAGTCAAAGTTAACAGAGGCTTTGAAGATTGCCACTGTTCAGAAAACAAGTGGAATAAGTGTGTGAGAAGGTTTCGGAATATTTCTGTAATCTTCTTGAAAAGGATAATGTATAGTATAGCTTCGAAAAGTTTTTTAATGACATAAGCTCACGTGTAAACTCATTACTTGGTATTTTTGTGATCTACTTGTGACTACAGTGTGATTGCTTGTACAGTTGCTGAACTTACTAGTGTGTAGCAACAAATATTGTATAATGAGTATAACTTGTTAATGCATCCTTTCGAAATGCTAATATATCCTGGGTTTTATCTCTTGCTTTGAGGAAAAACTGCATATACAATTTTAGTTTCATTTTGTGGACCAGATAGGAATGAAGTCCATCCTGACTGTATTTTAATTAGAGTGAGGGTAATGATTTAAGTCTTAACCTGAAAGTAAGAAATAAAGCACTTTTGATAATGTAGGTAATGAATGGTCCTTTTGATTCAGATTACTGGGAAAAGTGTTGTGGGGTTTCTTTCTGGGTTTGGTGTGGGTTTTTTTGTTTTTTGTTTTTTTGTGGGTTTTTTTGGGTTTTTTTTGTTTGGTTTTTTTTTTAACTTGGATAACAAAGGAACTTCAGTCATCCATGCAGAAATGTATGTAAATTTAAATGCTAGATTACATGGAGTATTTTATGGAGTTCAGATGGTACATTTGTTACACTTGTTCTGACTACTAGACTTAAAAGTATTATGGCCGTATTGCTACTGCCTAGTCAGAGCATACATGAGAAGCATTGGATTTGGTTCATGGGAATCAATGAGTCTTCAACAGTCATTTGGTATAGGAATGTCTTCTCATTCAGCACTAGGAATCTTCACTGATGCCGAAACAAGTGTTTATAGTATATACAGTAAACTGTTTTATTGTGTTACTTACCAGTAAATATCCTTGCATCCAGGAGTTCTGCTTCGTAAGAAAATGGTTCTTTTGTTGATTCTTCATCTGCTGCTATTTAAGCTTTTTTTATTGTTTTGTTTTGTTTTTGCTAGCACGGTTTCAAGGTGCAGTGTTAATGGAACCTAACCTCCAAGGTTAATAGTTTGGAGCACATTTGGAAATGAACCTGAAATCTTAGTTAAGCAAAACATTATATTTGTGCAGAGAAAAAGAGGTTCTTTCTACTTTAAGAGTTTACATTGCATGCAGTCTAGGTCATAACTCTACAAAAAGTGATCAAAGGGGCTAAATACTTATGTTGCTGGCAGAGAAAATAGAAAAATAGTTATGTTACACTGAATCATTTACCATTATTTCCAGTTAGGCTGGCCAAAAAATCATTCCAGGAAGATGATGCGAAAACTTCTGGGAAGTGGTAGAGTCACCATTCCTGGAAGTATGTAAGAGATGTGTAGATGTGGCACTTAGGGACGTGGTTTAGTGGTGGACTTGGCAGTGCTGGGTTAACATTGGGCTTAATAATCTTAAACATCTTTTCCAACCTAAATGATTCTATAACCAAGCTGGGAACTTCAAATGTTAATGAGTGAGCAAAATGATACCACTTAAAACTCCCTTGTACATTCGTGGTGTAACTTCAGGTTGAGAATAATGGGTTTAACAGTTTTTGCAAATGCTGAGGTATCCCTAGTATGAAAAGATACAAACAGTGAAGTTTATCCTAGGGAATGTGGAAAGTCACTCAAACATCATGAAAACGCCAGGTCAGATCAAAGCAAATTATCAGTTAGCTTTTACACTTAATTTTATCTATACTCAGTGCTGCATGTCAAAAATGAGAAAAGACAGGAGCATTCTTGCTCTTTTCAGGCATTGTGTCTAAGCCTGTGAGTTCTCACTTATGAAACCTAGACTCTGAAAATTTTGTGTAAACTATAGCAAATGTGTCCAAAATAATTATGATACTTTACTAGAGTGCATGTTTCTGGTGGTGGTTTTTTTCATTGACAGATCTTTGGGCAATAGAGGAATTCTTGGGACTTTCCTTGAATGTCATTCTATTGATTACTTTGCATTTATGTATTTCCAGGGTTTTTTCTAACTTCCTAGCTTGATTTTGGTTTTGGGTCTGTGTCCTTGAAATGCTTGAAACCAGCATGCAAATGCAATATGAGAACTTCTTAGATATATGTCTTGATGTTTCCAGTAAGTCTCATTTCACCATGAATAAGCTTACTGTTTTTATGTACTTAGGTACTTGCTGGTAGACCTTTTGCCATGGAGAATTACAGAAGCAGGGCATGTTTTTGACATTCAGAATCCCACTTTGACATATATAAGACACAAAATGCATTGCTCCCATTATTACATGGAACTAAATGGTAACATTGATTATATTTAATAGTTCATTTACAAAAATGCAATCCTTAAGGTTGAATATTTAACGTATTTGGGCTAAAAGCAGGGAGGATGTTGTTTCTTAAAACTGGCAGAGCTGTCGTTACGTAGAAAGTTTATATACTTGTTCTCAGTTGCCTTGATGAAGTTTCTTTCAAAATACTGCATGGAACAAATGTGCTTAGGAATTGGTGTAACAGAACTCATGTTTGGTTTTGGTTTGGTGTAGCATCTGCGACAAATACAAGAAATACACTTTTTCTTCCTCCTCGTAAGAAAAAAAGAAGAGAATCCCTGTAGCAGGGATTTTCATACTAGAAATGTTTGTCTGCTTTAAAATAAGTCTATCACTTCGTTAGCATCTCAACTATGTGAACGTGAGCGTTGATGGCTGAGAAGCCTTGGCTGCATTTGTAACACACGCTGCCTTCTACTACATTTAACTAAGCAGCTAAGCAAACAGCACATGCTTTTCCTCTGGCCTCCTTACTTACATGCTCTTGGAACTCTCGAAAAGATAAACATAGGAATAGCTATACAGGTCTCAACCAAGTTTTTCTAGCACAATAGCCTGTCTTTTAGTCAAACGCAGCTGCCTGAGGAAGGAGAAGAACAATGCAAGCACATTTGGTTCTTTTCCTTCTGTGTTCTCCTGGCTTCCAGCTGTCTTCTATTCCAGGCTTTCCTGCAGATCATATGGTTTGTCTATTTAGTAATCCCCAATGCTTCTTTTTCCAGTACTTGTTCAGCTTCCCTTGGACTATATATGCTTCCTGAATAACAGCAGTGTTCATCGGTTGATGTCTGTTTCGTAAAGAATTGCTGTTACTTGTTTATTTTGAACCTGATTTTCACTAGCTTAGCTTAATGTTCCCTCTACAGTAAACTTTTACCTACCATGCATGTGCCAGTCATGGTTCTGCAGATACATAACATTCACATTTAAATTTCCTCTTCTAAACTGAAATGCATTAGTGAAGGTATTCGTTGGCTAATCAAAGGCATGGAGTAGCTGCTGTATTTA